AACTGGTGGAGCTACAACAGCATACACTATCTTGCATTATTTAAAACTGCTCTCCAATTTTATATTACTATATGAACCTGGAAAAGTGTTTTCAACCAGCAGAAATGTTTTTCCACTCCGAGATTCAAACTCAGGCCCTCCCAAGTTCACTTGTCAAACCTCTACAACAAGCATGTGCTCTGATGTACCAACTTGGGCCAATGCTTAAATACAAAATTGTCTCAAGACAGCGTTTCCAACATGCAATTTTCGAAAATTTAGAGAGGTCTATGAAAATGAGACCTCCACCATTATTTCAAGCACCCCTCATTTTATACACAAAAAAAATTTAGTTTTTAAGAATGTTTGCCAAATATGGTACTATCAAAATATTTTTTAACATTCTTTAATACATATGTACATATGTACATATGTACATATGAGGAGGAAATACAAAAATTTGGCGTCACTTTTTAGAAAAAAGTTTCACATTTTCTTAAATTTTCTATATTACGGAAGAGCTACTCATATTTTTTTTTAATTGTACATGACCATATTTCAAGATATGTCTTTAAAGAATAATTTTATGAAGGAAAAAATTTCGATCTTTCATATTGTAGTTGTAGGAAGATAACAATAAAAAATTTAACTTTTGCAATTTTCAAAAAACTAGGAATATCAAAAAAAATTAATTGCCACCATTCTCTTAAGTGCCCTTTATTCAACCCAAGGACCAAGTTAAATAAAATAAAAAATTGAGCAGTTTTTGAAAAAAAAATTGAAAATGTTGAGGTGTAACATAACTCAAACATCCGTTTCAAACACAAAAGGCTCAATTTTGTTCACATTAACTTTTTAAGAAAACTGGCTGAACAGTTAAGGCACTAACATTGACTGCGGACGGTCACGGGTGGCCTTTTGCTGTCAGTCGATCCTGACTACCCAATGTGTCAGACAAAGTAATTTATACGTAGTGTAAGAAATCTATCTGTAGGAACTGGTTGTTTTTTTCTTTCACTTCTTCGATACCAGGTGTCTGGCAATAGGAGTTTTTCTGCCGAAATTTCGCCGTTTTCAGGCGCCCAATTACAATACAGTCTCTTCCTACGAAATTAGTGCGTTGGAACAAATTACCATCCATTTTGAACCCCTAAAGTGTCACCCAAACAGTAAAATTGATGAGAAAAAAATACAATTATAATTGCTTTTTTCTATCACTAATATTCATATGATGAGTCTGATTCCAAACTAGTGTAGAAATAACTGAAGATACTAGACCTAGTTCAACTTCTTATTGCTGCTATGACACTGGAATATTAAACCGTGATCTCAAAGAATGGTCTCCCACTGCTAGAGAGCAACTGCGGTTGTCAAACTACAAGACTAAGATGGTATTAGTAATGAGCAGGAAACAAGGGGAGCATGCAACACATACATGGCTCTTCACTGAGGACCTCCACTACGCGCAGTATAGAAAAAATAATAACATACTTCTGCCAAATAACCTCTCTATATAAAAACGGATGTTGGTATATATCTGCATAAGAGTGGTTAACTTTAACACCATTTGACTGATCTCCATGAAAGTTGGCATGTTTACGTGTTTTTTCACCCAGATGGTTTATATGCTGTTAATTTTGTTGTAACTCCACACATGGTGCATTCTTATCAAATGCAACCCGCAGCACACGGAAACATTTTTAAATCTATATCATTAAATAACACCTAAACAAAGCATTCCAAGGCATTTAAAACTGAAATTTTGATACCAAGGGCCTCAAAGAAACTTTACTCGCATCTCTATCTACAGAATAGGATGACCTTGAATATTCTATTACGTTCTTGCTGATCCAGCACTTCTCAATATTCCACCACCTGCTCAGAAACGTGCAGAATCTGTAACGAAATGTGAATGACAGAAAGAGAGAGGCACACGCGAGAGAGAGAGAGAGAGAGAGAGAGAGAGAGAGGCGAGAGAGAGAGAGAGAGGCGAGAGAGAGAGAGAGAGGCGCGAGAGAGGCGAGAGAGAGAGAAAGGCGAGAGAGAGAGAGAGAGAGAAAGGCGGGAGAGAGAGAGAAAGGCGAGAGAGAGAGAGAGAAAGGCGAGAGAGAGAGAGAGAAAGGCGCGAGAGAGAGAGAAAGGCGCGAGAGAGAGAGAAAGGCGCGAGAGAGAGAGAGAGAGAAAGGCGAAGAGAGAGAGAGAAAGGGCGAGAGAGAGAGAGAAAGGCGAGAGAGAGAGAGAAAGGCGAGAGAGAGGAGGAGAAAAGGCGAGAGAGAGAGAGAGAAAGGCGAGAGAGAGAGAGAGAAAGGCGAGAGAGAGAGGAGAAAGCGCGAGAGAGAGAAGAAAGGCGCGAGAGAGAGAAGAGAAAGGCGAGAGAGGAGAGAGAAAGGCGAGAGAGAGAGAGAAAGGCGAGAGAGAGAGAGAAAGGCGAAGAGAGAGAGAAAGGCGAGAGAGAGAGAGAGAAGGCGAGAGAGAGAGAGGAGAACAGCGAGAAGAGAGAGAGAAGAGCCGAGAGAGAGAGAGAAAGGCGAGAGAGGAGAGAGAAAGGCGAGAGAGAGAGAGAAGGCCGAGGAGAGAGAGAAGCTGAGAGAGAGAGAGAAAGGCGAGAGAGAGAGAGAAAGGCGAAGAGAGAGAGAGAGAAAGGCGAGAGAGAGAGAGAAAGGGCGGGAGAGAGAGAGAAAGGCGCAGAAGAGAGAGAGAAAGGCGGCGAGAGTAAGAGAAAAGGCGAGAGGAGAGAGAGAAAGGCGAAGAGAGAGAGAAGAAAGGCGAGAGAGAGAGAGAGAAAAGGCGAGAGAGAGAAGAGAGAAGAGGCGGAGAGAGAGAGAGAAAGGCGAGAGAGAAGAGAGAAAGGCGAAGAGAGAGACAGAGAGAGAAAGGCGAGAGAGAGAGGGGCGAGAGAGAGAGGGGCGAGAGAGAGAGGGCGAGAGAGGGGGGGGCGAGAAGAGAGGAGGTGGGGCGAAGAGAGAGGGGGCGAGGAGAGAGGGGCGAGAGAGAGAGGGGCGAGAGAGAGGGGGCCGAGAGAGAGACGGGCGAGAGAGAGCGGGGCGAGAGAGAGAGGGGCGAGAGAGAGGGGGGGGCGAGAGAGAGAGGGGGCGAGAGAGAGGGGCGAAGAGAGAGATGGGCAAGAGAGGGGGCGAGAGAGATGGGCCGAGAGAGAGGGGCGAGAGAGAGGGGCGAGAGAGAGAGAGGGGCGAGAGAGAGAGGGGGGCGAGAGAGAGAGAGAGGGGCGAGGAGGAGAGAGAGGGGCGAGAGAGAGAGAGGGGCGAGAGAGAGAGAGAAGGGGGCGAAGAGAGAGAGGGGCGAAGGAGAGGCGAGAGAAGAGGAGGGGCGAGAGAGAGAGAGGGGCGAGAGAGAGAGAGGGGCGAAGAGAGAGAGGGGCGAGAGCGAGAGGGGCGAGAGAGAGGAGGGGCGGAGAGAAGAGAAAGGGGCGAGAGAGAGAGGGGCGAGAGAAGAGACGGGGCGTGAGAGAGAGAGGGGCGAGAGAGAGAGGGGCGAGAGAGAGAGGGCGGAGAGAGAGAGGGGCGGAGAGAGAAGAGGGCGAGAGAGAGGGGCGAGGAGAGAGAGGGGCGAGAGAGAGAGAGGGGCTGAGAGAGAGAGGGGCGAGAAAGAGGTGGAGGGGGGAGAGAGAGGGGCGAGAGAGTGAGGGAGGAGAGGGCGAGAGAGGAGAGGGGGGAGAGAGATGCAGACCAGAACGGAGAAGAGACAGTGGCAGGCTGAGACAGACAGAGGCAGGCAAAAAGAGCGGAGACAGACAGCTGGCAGCGAGACAGACAGTGCAGGCGGAGAGAGACGGAGGCAGGCGGAGATAGACGGAAGCAGGCGGAGAGAGACGGAGGCAGGTGGAGAGAGACGGTGAGGGAGAGGGAGGGAAGGAGAGAGAAAGGGACAGGGAAAGAGAGAGAAAGGGAGAAGGAAGGAGCAAGAGGAAGATGAAGGACAGATCGTCTGCCAGGTTCTGCTAGTATTTCTTAAAAAAGAAGTTTTAGAGTGTCTTGGTTATCTTGCATTCTAGCAATATAAATACACTGATACTGAAGGAGTAACATAGCTCCAACACAACTTTGCCATTGTTTGTGAAATGAATACAAATTATTTCTGTGTTACAGATCTTACACCCAAACTGATTTGGCATCAACATGTGTCAGAGAAACATTCACAAGACTGAGCAGATAATACTTTGTACTCTCGCAAATGTCACGTCAAACACTGGAGGACCAAGTTAGAGCTGAAGAAGGCGTCCGTTGGGCATCCCCAATTCAGAGACATGCTGATGTGAACATATTTGAAAATTGCACCAGAGTGTAGTAGAAGTTCTTTCAGAATCACATACATTTTCAACATAGTCTTACAACACAGATTGCAAAATTAATGACTACCCTCCGTGTTTCTAGCTGACAAATGCTGGCGGTTATACTGCTGCCATCAAGTTTCGCATAATGCTTGATTCGACATGTCAAAAGAAGGAAAAGACAGTCCAATGTGAGAGTAGTTTTGACACAAGAGAGATGGGAATAGCTAGGACAATTGGAAGATGAGAGTTCCCAGCTCATTCCAGTGATCACAAGGTGGCCAATCATGACCATTTACTGAGATGACCATTAGGTGAGATCTCACTCTGTTAATCTGAATAAAGTCACATTAGAGCATATCAATGGAAAACCAAAAAGAAAGATCCAATATTAGTTATAAGTCGTTGTCCCTAATGTCTTATGGCTTTGATGTTAACACGTTTTTAGAATGATTTAAATTGATTCGGCTTTGGAAAAGAGTCCAATGTAATCCAAGGATTTATAAGGGAATGATCACAATATTGACGGGTTGTATTACAATATAATTTTAATAGTTCAAATAAGAAAATTCCATTTTGGAACATTTTATCGATCCAATTCTAGTGATTCTGATGATTGAAATATTTAGGCATAACAAGCAATTTAATGTGCATTCTGGAAATAGAATTCCTTTACCAAGTTCTACATGAACAATAAACTAACATACAGCACAGCATTTTATACCATATTTACCTGAAGTTCATCATCTGGTGTAGAAATCATTCCACCCCATCTAGTAACACGTGCTCTTGTAAGTGAATTGGACCAACGAATAACTTCATCACGTTCCATTTGATCAGCTATTTCTCTCACAGCTGGATTTGATGAACGCATTGCATGCAAGAATTCCTGTTAACAATTTTTAACATAATTTGTTTTCACTAAACTCTAAAAACCTAAACATTCCATTTTCAAATGATCACATTGCTTCAAAACAACAAATACTTTATTCTTCAGATTAAGAGATAAGCCATGCTTGTAACTTGCTGATGTAGCTGTCAGCATGTATAAAAGGAGTCATCAAAACTTTTATTTCAAGAGTGCGTAAGAATTTCAATTGATATTAATATCCATTGGATATCTTGAATGGCCAACAACAAAGTTTTATCAAAATTGTATGTTGGAAGGAATAAAGATATGTGTTCATCATCAGTTGAGTGGTAAAGTTGAGAGGGGATTCGAGGGAACATAAAGAAATATCAGAGAAGAGGCCGGACAGAGAGAAAAGGAAAGGGAACAGAGCAGGGAGGTTGGGTCAGAGTGTGGAATAGGGAGCAGAGCAGGGGAGAAACCATAGAAGAAAGAAGAGGAGAGAACGCAAGGTGGAAGATTGGAGAGGGGAGGGGTGAGCAGAAAGAAGAGAAGAGGGGAGTAGGAGAGTGGGGAAACAGGAGGGGAGAGAGCAGGAAAGGGATAAGAACACAGGATGGGCAAGGGGTACCAGCAGGGCAGGGGTACGCGCAAGAGGAGCAAAAGCAAGAGAGGGACAGGAGCAAGAGAGGAGCGAGCAAGGGAGATGGAGCAATAGAGAAAGGAGATTTAGAAGAGAAAGCGAGGAGAAAAAGAATAGTAACTGAATGCGGAAGAGGAGTGGAGCAGTGTGACATAGCGAGTGTGAGAGGAGTGTCTGAGATGTGGTAAAGGAGAGTCCGGAAGAGAAGATATAGCAAGGCAGGCAGGCTAGGTAAGAAAGAATGTTGGGGGAAGAGGCGAAAGGAAGGAGAAATGGGGAAGACGAGGAGGGGGAATCACACAGAAGGAATGGTGCAAAGGAGAGGAAATGACAGAAGGGGGACTGGCATACAGAGAAAATAAGAAAAAGAGGGGAATAACTGAGTGGAGGGGGCATGGCAGAAAAAAGAGAGGAAAAAACAATGTGGACTTGGTGGAAATATGCGTGTGTGCCTGTGCCTGTGCCTGTGTGTGTGTGCATGAGTGAGTACATGCGTGTGTGCATGTGTGTTGGGAGCATACATGGGTGAGCATGTATAAATGTACATGGGGCATGTATGCATGTGTGTGCATGCATGCATGTGTGTGAATGCATGAGTGTGCATGAGTGTGCATGAGTGTGCATGAGTGTGCATGAGTGTGCATGAGTGTGCACGCGTGCGTGTATGCGTGTGGATACTTTTATGGAATCTTACAACACACCAGGCCAATTACTGGATTTGCAAAGGTACTTTAGCATGAACACAGTCAATTATTGAGAACAATATTTTTTAAGGTATAGTTTGAAAACAAATCCCTCTCGTTAAAAAATTAAATCAAATTACAATTGTAATTCTCAAAATTGTTACACATTATTTACCTTCAACAGTTCAATTTCTCTTTTCTGTTCCTTTAATTTGCGACGTTGCTCAGCAATTTCTTGTTGAAAGTCAGCCATTTTTTGTTGCTGGGAATGAATCAAAGCACGTAACTCTTTCACACAATTATGGTCTTTCAGTTCATCCTTTGGAATTACTAAACCACATCCTTGCTCACAAGAAACTGGACGTTTTGGATTGTGTTCGCATTCTTCCAAATGAGAAGATAAAGAATCAAGTTTCAAGACTGAAGTGCAACCATATGTAGCGTTGTCACATTTGATGCACAACCTGCAATGTTATAAGTCATAAAATTAGATTCAATTAATGAAAATAAAATAAACTTCTATTTATGAAATTTTATAAAATATTTCTTTAATGAATATTGGAAGCTTCTCAGATGAATCTTACAGATTCACATAATAATCATAGAGTAACAAACAAGAATTCACGCATATGATACAGCTAGTGTCTCAATGAGGCTAAATTGAACATTAACCAGTTAATGGTCTCACTTGGACAATCACATTACTTCACACAGTGCTCTGAGGTTAATGCCAATATTAGCCAGATGATGTGCCATCATCATTCACACAGCTTTATCCAAACCACTTTTCTAATATGCAGATTAGTTGGTAATTTGTGAATTGGCCATATTTGGGACTTAATAAGATATATGTTTTCAGTGATATAATCAGGTAATGCATGAATCATTTTAATTTGGGTTTATAGAAATCAAAATGTAAAGCACATTTATCAGAAGTATTATACATGGACAGAAGACAAAATATGTACTGAGAAATGACCTGTAGGGAAATTGATAGATGCATAAGAAATACAACATCAAATAAAGCATGGAAAGTAATAAAGAGATCAAGAATGGAAAATAAAGGTACACCATGGGTTAGTGCAATTAGCATGGAAGAGAGGACAAACAATTATAAACAGCTGTTAACCAAAGGCAGAACATAGGATCGACAGTAATAAGGGCAGATGGAAAATATGGAATCAATGGTTGAACACTCAAGGAGAAATAACAGCAACTCTGGCATTAATGAAAAACTGGAAAGATCCTGGCCCAGATAACATCAATGTAGGTCTACCAAAACCATTTGATATGGATGTATTAGCTATTATTTTCAATAAATGTCTCCAAGGTGGGATCCCACCATGAAAGGAAGAAGGCCTAAATTACTCCCATTTATACAAAAAGAGGCAGATGGGAATATGAGGAATATCAGGGTATAATGTTCTCAGTATCAAGACTGTATGGTCGTCGTCGTCGTCCTCATCATCATCAATTAAACTAAGCAGATTGTTCCGGTCTCCAGTATTTTAACACTAGATTTAAAATTGATCACTCCAGCATTTCCTTGGGCATCCTATATTCCTTCTTCTTTGAGGTCTGTAGTTGATTAAGTTGTTTTGGAATGTAGCAATCCTCCATTCTGTCGAATTGTTCCAAGCTATTTACTCTTATATCTTTCGATTTGTCGAGGATATTAGCGATATTTAGTTCTTGATGTGTATCATCATTTCTTTTTCGATCTTAGAGGGTGTATTCTGCCATGTGTCTGAGAAATTTCATTTCAGCAGCCTCAATTTGGCTGGCTTGATTTTTTGTAAAGAGTCCAGTTCTCAGATTCATAAAGGAGGTTGGGATAGCCAATACCTCATAGAATTTTAGGTTCCTTAACTTGTTGCTTTGCGTTTTTGATTGATGGTCTCACACATTCGGTTAAATTTATTTATTGCATCATTACTATTCCTGTATGAGATAAGGAAACCTAGATAGTTAAAATTGCTGACTTGTTCTAAGATAACCTTGTCGAGTACTATTTTCACTCTTAAAGGGTCTATTTCTTTGAATGCCATTAACTTAGTTTTATGAAAAGATACTGTAAATTATACTCTCTACAAATATGGTTCAAAGAATGAATAACAAACTGAAGCCTCTCTTTAGAATTAGATATAATGATCTGATCATCAACAAAGAGCAGTGTTTCTATTATGGAGTTGACAGTAAAAGTATCCTTATGATTATTTTGCCATGTTTTAATGACATCCTCAATATATGTGTTAAAAACTAATGGCAACAGTGGCCATCCTTGTCTTACTTCACAATTTGTTTCTTCCAAATAAGAATTCTTTTTTATTATTTGCCATTTCATTTGTTTACAACATAATTGCTCTGAATACCTCTGATTAAATGCAGTGGAATGTCTTTCTCTTTCATAACCTTCCATATTAAGTTTCTTTTAACGTTATCAAAAGCCTCCAGGAAATCTATAAAAGCTGCATATGTGGGAATTTGATATTCTCTTCTCTTTCAATAAGGTGAATTAATGAAAATATACAATCAGAACCTGACCTCCTCTGCCTAAAACAATGTTGAGCTTCTGACAAAAGCGTTTCCAATATAGCTTTTAATCGGTTTGTTCGAATATATGTGCATAGTTTGTACCAGGTGTAGAGAAGGCTAATTCCCCTACAGTCATTACGATCTCCCTTTTAAAAATTTTAATTTCTTGTATTTTTGCTATCCTCCATTCTTGTAGGACATATCCATTTATCCAGCATACATTGAAGAAACTCTGAAGGCAATTATGCAGAGTATCTGCAGCATGTTTAATAAGCTCCATTTCCTGATATATTTATTATATATCACTTCCCGGGGAATTTTTATTTTTGGAATGTTGTGTGGCTATCCTCAGTTCTTCGATTATTGAATCTATGTATTCATTGATGTCTGCTAATAATATTTCTTTTAGACTATCTTGAGTTTGCAAATTTTTGTAGCATTTTAACCATTCTTGTTCTTTGATATTATTGAGTTTGAGATTATCTTTCTCCATTTTGTTTAAATGTTTCAGTACTTTACATGCTCTGTCTTGTCTGCCACATACAGCATGATCTATGTTGCTTACATATTTGCTCCAGTTATTCTCTTTAATTTTCTTTACTTCTCATCCTGCTACGGCACAGCATTGCTTATATTCCAATCTTGTTTGGTCAGTATTTAAATTTAGATGTCTTAAGTATCTCTCTTTTTTTGATATTAATTTGTTAGGCAATGTCATCATTCCATTTCCACAGGCTACAATTATTATATCTTTCTATCTATTATATGCATGTTCCTAATGCTTCAGTTGCTGTTTGGTTTACTATATACTTGATGTTTTCCCATTCTTCGTTTATGTTGTTACTTATTGGTTTTATTTGTACACTTTGGTTTAGCTGATAATGATAGAGGTGCCTTATACTCTCATCTTGGAGTAAATAGACTTCACAAGTTTCTTTCGGGGCTTGAATTGATCATACGTGATGTTTTTCCAATTTGGTTGGGATATTGATCTTTGTCAGATCCAATGTCACAGCTTCTGAATATTCATATCAATGATTAGCTTTCCAAGATTGTCATTTACTAAAAGGTAATCAATCATAGATTGAGAACCTCTGGCATTCAAAGCATTTTCATGAATGACTTTGTGTGCGAAGAAGATATTGGTTATTTTGAAGTTGTTAAAAGTGACAAAATCTATGAGTAGAGCACCATTTACATTTACAGATCTTTCTCTGTGCTTTCCAATAAGAGTTTTTTAGTGGAGAATCGTCATTGATGTTTCCTGCAACTATTATATAATCAGTTGGGTTTATAGCATTTATACTTCTCTGTAACATTTTATGGAACTTTTCGGAAACATTTCTTTGCCCATTTTTTGAGCTGTTTATGGCTTTTACTCGTGTATCCTCTCATAGTTTTGCCAACAGAATGTTTGCCGACAGAATGTTTGGACAACAGATGGCCTCGTAACTGTATTAACTCTTTTAGATTTTAGTAAAGCATTTGACTCTGTAGATTAAACAAATCCTAATAGCAAGTGCCAAAAATCTAAGTTTTTCTGATTCACGGCATAGTCTTGATTGCAAGCTATCTCTACTAACAATAGGCAACAAAATTTGTAGTAGTTGACGATCTGCAACTCCAATCCAAAACCTCTCCAGACCTGGTGTAGTACCTCAGCGAGGTCGTGTCTAGCGCCACCTGGCTTCTTTATTTAAGCATTGAATGATTCCTATCAAGACAAACTTACGGAATAGTAGTCATTGCAGAGCATGTACGCGGTATGAACCTTGCAAATTTTATATCTCGCGGAAAGACCATCAGAAGGTAGAAATGCTTAATAAATAAAATTAAATAATGAAACTCTTCCTCTGTAGTCAAATGGTCAAGAAAGAAACGGACTCAATTAAATCCTACAAAATCCACAAAACCATTCATAAATGGCTTCTCAAATGCCATATAGAAACTTGAGGTTCATTATTTCCTGATGTGCTTACAGACAATGCAGTATACCTCGTCATACAAAAGTCAAAACCTGGGCTTAATACTTGATGATCATCTAAGTTGCGAATATCGATCCGAAACGTCTGTGCGAAAGTTAGCTTCTTTGCAATCCCTTAGATATATCGATAAATGTCTCCCTACTAATACGAAGAAATGTTGGTAAAAAACCCTGCTTGTTCTCATTTCGACTACGGATATTGTATAACCAATTTAAAGATTCCTCGCTCAACTCTACAGGGGCTCAAAATTTCCTGTATTCGTTTCATTATAACATAAAAAATATGATCACATCCTGGATGTTAAAAACAGCACAAATATTAACACTAAAAGATAGGCCTTGGATCACCACCTTTGTCTTCTATTAAGATGCTAAAAATGGTGTTCTCCGACCATTCTTAAACAAAACTATTTTGTATATCTAAAATCCATTTAGATTCAGAAACCCAGTTCTCTGTCCAAAAAGCCAAACCAGCTACTCAATAAATCGTTCGCAATTACTGTAGCCCGCGAATGGAATAAATTGCCTCCAATATTAAAAACTCCTCTGCATTAACCATCTTTTAAAAAGCACCTGCATGATTTTTTACAAAGGAAAAGACACCATTTTGTTTAAATCACTGAGATTACAGGTCAAATAAAAAAACTATTCCTTAGGAGTTTAAGATAATATGTTTTAGAAATAACATTAATGTTTCTTTTGTAAAAAATTGTTACTTCTTGCGAACCTGTTGTACTGTGAAACTGACTTTCATCCGTAGGAGCAGAGCGGTGTTAAACAAGGAAAAACCAGCCCTTTGGAGCATGGACCGCCAGCTGAGGATACCATTCCCAAAGAACCCGTTACTTCATGTTAGCTTTAGTTCCCATTGTATTAGGACACAGTCTGCCTGTGGGTTTTTCCCCAACTAGAGGGTTTTCCTCCCAGGATCAGCGACGTGTGAAGTGGTGCTTTCTTTAAATAGTCACAGTCGCTCGGGTGAATACCAGGCTGCCGCATAGCGCGCGATATTTAAAAGCATTAAATCTTATTTACCTTCAAATTGTGTTTCAATCTCAGACTTGATTTTTAAAATTATTTCAAAAGTATTGAACAATTTATCCATTTAACACGCTGATGTCTCTATTTATAAGTGCTTTAAATTAACATTTGCTTGGCCAACTAACTACTACAACTTGTAGATTACATTAAATTTAAATTTAAATAACATTACTTTTTTGTAATTTAATATTTAATTACATTACTCTTATGTTTGTGACGTGTGGTCAGCGGGAAGAGCGGGCCTGGTGGCCCAGCTCGCCATATGACATAAAGAATATTATTATTATTATTTATTATTTTTATTATATTATTATTTGTATTATTACATTATATTATTATTACTATTATATTATTTATTACTATTACTATTATATTACTATTACTATTATTATTATTATTATTATTATTATTATTATTATTATTATTATTATTATTATTATAGTTTTGTACCTTAGGATTAAAATTCATTCGTTTACAAAAGTCTAGCTGTGGATCCTGTTCTTCAATTGGTTTTTGATCAGGAATACTATTCCTGCAGCAACTCGTTTTTCAGAGCTTACTCTACTACATAGTAATATATAATCCTCCCATTCAGCTCACTCTTTTAATTTTGTTTAGTTTCAGAAATGACAGCAATACCTGTATTCATTTGTTTTTTTCTTTGAAGTTCAATCTCTTTGTGTGAGACACCTCTTACATTCCACATGTCAATTTTAAGTTGCTCCAAGTCGTTTTTTCCTGTTATTCCTGACCATTGTTATCAATATTTGGTCAGCACAGTTTTTTTTTACTTGAGACTTTTTAGTAATGTATTGTCCCTTGAATATAAAAGTAGTGTTTCGCAGGGCAAGATGAGTGGTGGGATGGCCACCTTTAGGCTCCACATCTAGCCTGATTTTCAGTCTGGTTTTCTTCCCATACACTGGCTGACTCTGGTCTAGAGACTAGTCTTCACTAGGACATAGGAGTTTAGTAAGGATCTCTTCTGCCTTCATCTAGGTTGAGATAATTTTCTCTTCAATTTTTGTATCTTCACTCTTCTAATAGTAAGGGTGTAACAATGAATATCTTAGCCTGAAAGGCAGGATTCCCCAAGCTTTTCAGTGCACCTGACATCTGCAGGTACAAAGAATATGTACTGCAGAAATGCAGGAATTAAGTGAAAGAGATTATTATAAAGAAATATAAATTATCATTTACAGGTCTTGCTTATCGCAACTGTATTCAAAACTTGATCTCTGATCACATAATCATTTATGTGGATTTTTAATTGGATTAAAACATTGGGATCAACTTTTTAGGGTGTGTTAATTCTCTCTTTTCACAAATTTTAACATATCTGGTGTGATAGGTATTGCAAGTTGCAATGGAAGTTTACCATACTTGGACTCTCTTAGATTCACATTAGCAATGACAAGTTTACTCAAAAGACAGTTATGGAAAAAACAAGATAATGGTTTATATACAAACTCTCCTGAATTTATTTGAAGGGCTTGAGAACAGATGCCTCACTAATTATTAAATGGTGACAGGTGCTAAATATAGTGGTCTGTTACAGATTCACAGTTCTTTATAGTCATAGGTATGTTATAGCTACATTTTGCCTAATAACTCAATTTTAGTCAGAGGTGGGTTAAGACTAGGGCCCTCCATTTACATTCATGCTGAAAGAGTATAACTTGCACAATACTTGGATAGCAGATTTCTCAAAATCCGGGGAACAGGTCGCAGCTGGGCAGTTGTAATAGATTGACGATCAACAGGGCATGTTGGTTGACGAGATATCCATTCTTGAATGCATGCTCGACAAAATGCATGTTCACAAACAGGAGCCTATACATAAAAGAATTCACGTGATAAATCAGATACTCAACATATTTTTTTTTTAATTAAATAATATTAGAGAAACAAACATTTCAATAAGTTTAACTACCTGCAATGGATCTTCCAAAACACCTGAACATATAGGGCATACAAGTTCCTCATCCACATCACCTTGAAATCTATTCACTTCAAACCCCATTGTTTAGTTCCTGAAACAATCATAATTTTTCAATTGATAATTTCCATTTTCAAATAACAATGCAATTTGAATATAATAAAATTGTGAAAGAACAAACTTGATCGCAAAAAACAGTTGTTAAGTAAAATTCCAATTTGTCATTTTTTGATTAAATAATCCTTAAATTTTGTCTCATCATAAATGGACTAGTAAATAATGCAAAAATCATAATCTGTAGTTGTTTTCCTTAATATTTCATCTATCATAAAAGAATAAGAAATAATTACATTGAAATTGTTTTAAAAATTCGGAAAACAATTCTGTATCATCATTTCAAGTCACATGTATTTCACATAAGGTTCGGATAAATCCAACTTTTCCCAGCTAGTGATATTCTCAGGCCTGGCACCTGATTTTTATTTATTATTCATGCCTGGGGAGCATTATGTGTTCACTTCACCGTATCTAGCTTATTTGATCTGCCTGAGCTTTATTTCATCACACAGCTATAGAAACGAGATGATTTGAATTAGAAATCTGGCATTGTTAGCCAAATTGCTTAACTACAAATCGTGAAGTTACAGAAGTTACACAATCAACGACACCATAGATTTCCAGACCTTTTTACTAATGATGCCAAGCCCCTGGCAAAAGGGGCAAAAGGGCATCAACTGGTAAGTTAAGACAAACAAAAAAATACCTTAACGGAGGATTACTCCACTGTGTAAATGCTCAATGCCCAAAAAGAGGCTAAAGTGACATGTTGTGTAATAGATGCAACAACTTTGAAAAGCCACAGTTACATTTTGCCCTGGCCACCAACTGAATCGAGACCATCTCACAATAGCCACCAGTCCACAGACACACCAGCCACAGAAATGCAACATTTCAACTTCAACAAAGAAATTCTAATACCTTGTATTTCATCAGTAACTTGAATTAGACGTACTGCATCATTTGGGTCTTTTTCAATCCAATGTTCGATTTAAATTCAGCCTCAATTTGTACACTCTCCATTACTTTGTAAGAAGAGAAAATATTGTAATCGTGCGTCGGAAAACTGCGCATATTCGGCAGAGAAATTCTTATTGAAGAGACCTGGTAACGGAAAAGTGAATAAATCTGTGTAATAAATTACTTCCTCTAACACGTTGTGTAGTAAAAATTTACGATTTGTGGGTCTCTCTTACCGAAAATTTGATTGACAGTAAAACAAGCGCAGGACCGTTCGTCTGTCCGTGGTCAACGCTAGCGCCAAAATAGTTCAGAAGATCTTTTCCAAAACTTATATTCCTGGAGCGATTTAAACTTGAGTCTCTCTGAGGTTGAAATGGATATTTTGATATTTAGGGGTTATGACTACTCAACATTTTCTCCAAAATGACTCCAAATAAACATTGCCTTCGGATAGTGTTAAGGATGCTTCAAAGAATGGTGCATGTCTCATAATTGTTGAAATCCCTAATTTTTTTAATATTGCAAAGTTTCATTTTCTCCAATCTTCCTACAACTACAATATTGATGATAAAGATTTTTTTCTGAATGACATGTTCTTTAAAGACAGATATTGAAATAAGATCATATACAATTTTTCGAAAATAGTAGTTTTCGCGTAATTTTGCGTGAGGTAAAAGCAATTTTTTTCTTCAAAAAACGGCTCCAATTTTCTTTCAAAAAATGTCTCCTCTTTTGTATCAAAGGACGACGCTATAAAAGTGGTGCGGGTCCATTTTCGGGGAATATTATGTATTTTCAAAAATTATAAAATGTTAACATTGCAAAAATACAATACTGAAGATGGAGGTTTTGAATTGAATAAAATTTTCTAAAAATCAAAATTTTAAAAAGGTAATATACAATGTTATTGAAAAATCTAATATTTTCGATATTTACACTATTATATTCCGTCTAACTCTAAATACACCATAATCATTTTCATATATTTCTAGAGATTTTGCTGGAAACCACTGCCCGTAGCTTTATTAGCTTCTGTGATAATTTCTGCAGGAACATCAATATATTATTTCATTTTGTACGAACAAATCAGTCCGAGTATGCAGTAGTAATCAGATACACATTCTGATTTGTTTGTCTGACGTCATATTCACAAATGACGATTACAATGCGTCTTTTCACTTCAGACGCAAGAAAAGTTATAAAATGTTTCGAATGCTCCTTAGATTCAGCAACGAACTACAGTACCGGCAGCGTCATGTGACCTGTTCTGGAGCAATCAGCTTGCGAGGATTTGTTTACTTTCTCACAGGCAGCGTTCAGCATTGCCGCTCATGTGACTCACACGACGTCGCGGAGGCGATAAGGTTCGGCTGCGGCGAAGGTTACGAGCATATCAAGACGTGTCGTCGCTTTTAAGTGTTAATGTTTTGGGATTTAATTCATCTGTCATGTAGGTGGTGCCATGAGCGTAGTAATGTGTGGCAAGTGCATCGAACTGTCAGATTTGCTTATACGTACTGTAGTAAACCAAGTTTTGTATGCATCACGGGCGTTACTAGATGTTTTTGCCCCGAGGGCGACTACTAAACCGAGGGCCTCTGGCCTCATGGATTGGAAGTCGCATGATACATAAATAACACCCTAGACACATAATTAACTATTGGGTTATTTCTGATTGAATTTAATGCACCTGTATACATAAATAAAAGAGAACGTGTGTTGCATATAGACGCAAAAACAACTCGACCGATTTCGCTGAAATGTTCACACTTTGTTCTTATTAGTATTTGGAGTGTTTAAAGAGTTGTTTGCATTAAATGGGACACGTGAGGGCGTTGTTAATGATTTATTCGTTTGACTCAAACGTCTCTATACTCTACGCAACCCGCCGCACAGCCAAGTATTAAGCGTCTTCACTGCATGCAAGTATTCAGGCCCTGTGATTGTGAAATATCGGCTGGAATTATTACTTGAATCTCGAACAAGTACAACTAATTTTTTCTAGGGTGGCCGCTGGGATTCTCGAGTAGAGGGGAAAGCTGAAAGTGGTGGGGAAGGGGCCGGGAGCTGGCGCTCTCTCGCGTCTGGCTCGTCTGTCCAAACCAAAAACAATAGCCTACCGCACCGCACGAGTTAGCGAACTTACTTGAACATCAGTTTGCTTTAGTGTCTTCGTTTGGTGATGAACAAACACCAAATTCACCTGATTTCACCTTCGGCTTTGCTCTCATTATCTACATAATTTCCACTAACACTGATACCCGTTTCCTCATTATAATTACTTGCATTACCATTGTTTGCGCCGTTTCCGGTAAAAATAACGATTTCGACATGGTGTATTAAATCATTGTGTGGCGAGTTACTCTCATTATAACCGTCCAGAGCAGATTCCACGACCTTCCTCTTCTTCTCTTTATTCGGAGTTGAAAATGAACACAATTCTCCCGATTCAATAGAACTCATTTCCTTTTTAATTCTGCAAATGGGTACTGTATTTTCGAAACACCCGTAGCAGCGACCAAGAACTGCTTCGACATGTTTAACACTTTCTTTTGCTTCGCTCTTCATAAATAGAAATACTTTCGCAACGACGTCACGCGTCAGGCAGTGACGGACTTCCTTATGTAATTAACTAATTACGTACAAATGCTTCACTCTAGTAGGAAATGCAACGAACCGCAAGCTTGCACCTCGCGGGCGGTTACGAAAAGCCAATCCACGATTGGAGTAGGACTGTCAACACGTGCTGGGAAGGGACGCGGTCCCCCCTAACCCGATAAGTTTGAGGAATGGACTCTTCCGGCAGCTCTGAGCCCTCGAACGCAGCCACGCTAAAATAATACTATTGTAAATCGAATTTCTCCTGCCATCGCGAACGCACGACCAAATTTGAAGGAGAACGTTTTAACAATAGGATACTTGACTACCATAACCAAAACAGGAAATAGAACAAACCCATACTTGCGAGAAAGTGTTATCTATTCGAATTTTTGCACAGCGTAGAGTATATCATGATTAACAATTATACAGTGACCCGTGGTATGATGAGTAATAGGCTGCAATAGCGAAGCATTGCCGAGTCCACTAGTTACAAATAAAACATTTCCTCAAAAACACATGCAAATTGCACCGGAGCGCAAGACTAGATGGACGGACGGGCGGGGGCGGGCGAAGAGACAAACAGAAGGGCTGACAGTCGGGACAATCGTATCTAGGCTATCCGGCAGAGCCGCGTCTCTGGCGTGGTGCCTAACCTTTCGGCCAATAGAGTATGGTGGCCTTCCTCAGAGCGTACAGCCCCAGCCCGCCCACGCCAAGCAGTACGCTCTGAGGAAGGCCACAATGTCGGCAGAAACGTCAGACACCACGAGTCGCGACTCGACCCGGATAGCCTAGATCAGGGTTGCCCAACTGACATGTTGCATGTGGTGCCATTTATAGTGATCAGTGAAAAGTAATTAGTCAAAAGTGAAAGTTCCTCGCAGCCATGTGGGGACAACATTGCGCGCCTAGCGCTTGCGCCCTTCGGAGTCAACATCCGTTTAATGTAAAAACAGATGTTTTGAACTAGAGATTTTTTCTATTAAATTGAGTAATTCAAAATAATCCCAATATTTTTGCTTTATACATGGTATGGCCTTTATGATTTCATTTTTCCTCCCCCCACCCACCCGTTTCAGAACAGCAGAACAAACTGACGAGTTCAATAAGAGGGAATTACGTGTGGATCACAAAAGTACTATAAATATGGCCCCCGACCATATGAAAGGTTTTAATTCCGAACCCCGAGACCTTACAAGTTGGACATCCCTGGCCTAGACAATACAAATTCCCCCGACGGAAGCCTAGGCAATCATGACGATTGGCAGACCAACGGACGGTCGTGCCGACAGAACGGAAAGACGCACCGACGGATCGACAGACAAACGCACCCACAGAGCGAGACAGACGCACCGACGGATCGACAGAGACAGGCAGATGCACCGACGGATCGACAGAGACAGGCAGACGCACCGACGGATCGACTGACAGAAGGACGGTCGGACTGGTCAATTGACGGACTGATTGGCGGACAGCGTGACAGACGGACGATCGGAATGACAAACGGATGTACACACTGGCGGCCTCCTCGGACAATACAAAAGTTGAAGTTGGGATCAACCAGCATGTTGAGTCAACATGACAATACTTGCAATAAGAGACCACGGTCAATTATGTATGCTATCTAATGCGAATCTCTGAAATACTCGATGAGACTTCGCCCTTCTTCTGGTGCATCATGACACTTGATCCACCCTTTCAAATTATAATCAGAGATGATTCACATCATTCATGAAACATTCTTTGTTTTGTAGTTATCTTGTGCATACTATTTCAAACATTTATCATGAGTTTGTCGCAAGTTTTAGGCATTCTGAATGGTTCATCAGTTGCAATTGCCATGCTAATTGATACGTCAATATGGTGGCACATTGCATTTTATCAACTGTTTGGTGATGATTGTTTTTAAGGATTAAAAGAGACAGTAATCTTCTAAAATTTGTGATTCTAAGAAGAATCTTCAAGCATCTTGCTGAGGAGCACAATAGGGCACAAATAAGCTCTCTTCAAAATGAGTTTGATGTATATTCTAGTGAAATACATATAGAATACTGAGAAGTGGAGCATGCAGAGAATGTGACCCACACAAAAGAATTAGAACAGCAGTATACATCTGTTGATCACATCAATTGTGTCTGCACACTTCAGTTATTACAGCCAGTCATTTCAAGAAATGTTCAAAACCAGAAGCATTTGAATTGCATAATTATTGAAAAACCTTCAATCTCATTGATGAATTTTCACCCAATTCATTTTTTTAAGAATTTCAGTTAAAAACCTATATTTGTCCAGTTGTGTACTTGTGTGTTTTACTTGTTATCACCCTATAAGATTTCTTATACAAGCAAATTTTGTTGTTTGCATAAATTGCTCATTATTTACTCTTGTATAATAAACATATATAATTAAAACAAAGTGTAGAATTGTTTTGTAACATATTCTTGTTGGGTGCATCAAGCAAGCATATAATTATTATTTTACTACATGGTACAAAATTGCCACACTCTCTCATACAGAAAAGAGCATGCATGCATAAGGATTAATCCACTTTGTTTACTATGTTGTGAGGGGATATAAAATTGAGGACTTTTTAAATATTTACTTCGTTAATTGCAAATATTTTATACTAAGGTTTCTTTCTTGAACATTACCGCAATTATCTTTTATGCAAATGAAAAAGCAATTTTCTGTAAATAAAAAACTTAGTAATTTTGCAAAATAATATTCTATTTACATCATTTAAGAAAATTTTGCTGGGGACATCAAGTTTTTAGGAAGGAATACATTCTTTGAAAACTGTGAGAACCTCAATGAAACATCCCTCCTTTTATGAAACGAGAGGGACACGAATGAAATTTCAATGACACCACAAACTGAACATTCAAAAGTAATCCATATTACAAATTTGTAATACAGAACATTTTTTCTCCAATCATTTACATAAATGAAAGCTGAGTAAATTGCAAATATGATTAATAAACACTTGCCAAAGTTCTCTAATATTAATAAAGATATATTGTAATGATAAAATATTTGTAAACAAAGTAAAAGAAGTAGAAATAAATGACAATTGGAAAAAGAGGGGTAAAAATACTAAAAGAACATGCACACACTTTGAAGGACAGAAGAGAAGACTGGCAAGGCTCAAAAAGACATGTATGAGAACTTTATTAGAGAACCTCTTCCTCAAATAATAAAATGTGCGAAAAAATTAGTCTAATATTTGTGCAGTAAGTATAGCACCCTCTATTAAGGATAAATAACTATCTGAATTCCACATATGTAAAAAAATGTCAGGTTCATCACAAAACATCATTCAAAACTAGTTGTTTTATTTCTTAAATACTACTATTAATTACACAAATATACATAAAACAACCAAATTTATGTCTAGTAGAGAAGAGTAACCCAAAACATTGAAACTCTAAATTTATAATCCATATATCTTGGAAGGGTATTTACCCACAACACTAAAAGAAGAACAGATTAATAACATGTTAATAACTCATGCAATGTCAATTTGTTGAGAAAGATTCATGGGCAACTGAAATTTTTCCTTGTTACATTAATGTTATAAACGCATTTTCTTTTTACCTTTAAAGATTTGGAGAAAACTTGATACACTATAACAAAGAACATCTGTAACGTATGAAATACTAAGGTGAAATTTACAGTAACTGCAAGCAAATCTTCAAGAGCTGCAAGTTTCACTTTAACATTCTTAATAATTTTTTAAATAGTAGATGGAAATATGTGATCTTCTACTTGAAGCCAAACACATTCAACAAGGCTCAATGGCACTTCACATTGTTTCCAAGGCACCTAGAACAGGAATAAAACACAAGAGGGTAATTATTTAAAATAAGGGTAGAAATGAATCAGTGTTATAATATATTTTCAAATATCCCGTACAATGCTTACTGAAGAAACAATTGCCGTACGCGCATTCGATTCAAATAATGAGGAAATACCAATTATTAACCTTCAAGAAAAAGAGAATCAGAAAATAACCAACCTTGTTTAGAGAAGAGACAAAACACAACCATCACATGCATACCGCAAATATTGACACCCGCCTCAACGTGTAAGAAATGACGGGCTGAAATTTAACTTAAAAACCTATATTTGTCCAGAGACGTTATTATCATCACTAACACACGTCCCGTAGTACAAACAATTTGCTCAACGAATACTACAAAGAACATCTTCCGGTTACCGAAATGAAATTTCATATAACATTTATGTAATTATCACAACTCACCTCCTACTGTCTAGATTGTCTAAATATCCCTAAAGTGACAATTTCGTTCACACAACACCCCATGAGATCGATCAAGCTAGTGGGAAGCTCATACGGGAGTCCTCCTCTCGTGTCCTTAACTAGTCAAAGGAAATTAGGCATACTTGTATATTTACTGAGGATTAGGAAAACCATAATATTCATTCACATTATCTTGATCAGTCATAACTGCTCAACAACTAAGGATTCGCAGCATAAATAATACATTGCACTGCTTTGCAAAACTGTGATGGGAATAATCGAGATATAAGATCGAAGAAATAGCGATTCTCGATTTTCATGCATTTCAATCGACTTATGTGGGTACCGCAGGGGGAGGGGATTTTTGCTTATCGTATTCGACTGCAGCCAATGAGCATCAGACATCAATTTGCGTCACAATATTAGCGGAAATTTTAAATGCAGCCAGATACCACCTCTTACAATACATTGAAAGAGGTGTATGAAGAATTTTTTTTGAAATTATTGCATCTTGCACACCTTCAACGTGTAATTTTTGGTTGGTTACCATAGAAAATTGTCTGTTTGTACCCTGCTCAAAATATTTATCAACACTTCTCGCTCTCATATGCAACATGGCGGCCAGCGTCTAGTCTGTTTTTTCAAAGGAAGTGCCAGTGCTGTGGTCAAGTGGTTCCTGACGCACACTGGTGTGGCGCAGAACAACAAACAATGGATATGCCGGATGAACTCACCCATGTATTTCCACCATGGGGAACCGTATTTCCGCAATGGAGAAAATTATAGTGCTATTTTTGTAACTCTACCCCTCCAGGTCCTACTGCACGGAGGCATTGTCACTGTTATTCGCGTCTTTCTCGGTCGTGTCCCTAGATGACGCATGATCGCGACCGTATTGCACTGCTGGATATGGTCGCGACCATGCGACATCGAGCAGCACAACCGAGAAAGACGCCAAATAGTGACATAATAATAAACTAAAATGCGCTCAGATGTGCATTTGTTTCTAATTCAAGTTGCGAGTTTCACTTTGTGTTCACTATTGCAGCCCTATTGTTTTTTTAGCTTGTTCATTTATACATAATTTCTTTAGCGTGCATCACTTTGTATGATAACGAGTGAAGTTTATCCCAAAACGTTCGTACACGCACATCTTTTGACTCGTGGAAGGTCTTTGTTTTGCAAAGTAAAAAGGGAAACCGTGAACTGCCAGTCTGGTGACCACATGCATCTCATAATTTGTCGTTGCCCATTTTCTGTTTGTCATTGATTCTGTGGCGTAGAATTCCGGCCATATCTGTCTCCTGTTTTTCTTCTGCTTCTGCTGACATGTTGTGATGCTGTAGACGCCTTAAATCCTCTATCAGCAGGATCTCTCTTACCAGCTCGTAAACTAATTTTGACTAAGTTGTTTTGGAAACTGCTAATATTCGTTTAAGAATGTGGCTTTTACTTTTTCCAGTACTAACAGGTTCTTTTCCGTGAGGTTCGTCCAAATGACCTCTATCCCGTAGGATAGTGCGGGGCTCATTTTTGCTTTGAAAATTTTAATTGCTGAGTTAAGGCTCAGTTGTCTTAAGAAGCTTTATGTCATTTATTGCAGTAATTGCTTGACCATACCTCTCTTCTACATGCTCCGTGAAGACTCTTCCTGAAGGTTGTAGAGTGATTCTTATGAATTTGAATTCGTTGACTACTGCTACGTAGGAGCCGTGTATATCTATTTCTGTCCTTGCTGGTGTCTTTCCTCCTTTTCTGAAAACCATTGTAACTGTTTTACCTGTGTTAATTTCGAAACCGTGATCCCCTTACACTATTCCGCCATATTCGATATTGCTTCTTGTAGTGTGTCTATCTCTTGGCGCCACCACAATATCGCCTGCGTGTGCATATATTTCCATATTTCTCTCCTCTCTTTTGGTCATTTAAATAACATCTGTGGCTGCTAATATAAAGAGCAGGGGACTGAGAGGGTCTCCTGGTAATTCGCCATTTGTCTGTTTAATAGGTGCGGATGTAACAAGGTCATCAGTTATTTGCCTTTGTACAAGACTTTCATTGTGGAGTTTCTCCATTTCTCCGGGATGCTGCCTGTTAGTATGCATTCGTTAAAAAGATTTGTCCAGTTTTCAGCCAAAATTTTGCCTGATTCTTTTATGTTCGTTTGACATGTCTGGTCCTACGACCTTATTTGGCTTTAATTTCCTTATTTCTTCGTACGCCTCTTTCTAGTAGAAGTTTGCCCAGAGTTCTATTTCTGCTTCCGCTGCCTTATTTGTTATGTGAGGTGTCTCTGGATCTCTCTGTCTGGCTAGGACGCTTCTAAAGTGGTCTTTCCATACATTTATGGGGATGTACGCATTTTTTGTTCTATGCCTAGGACATAGTATCTTGATGGGGTCTTGTTGTGCTTCCTCTGCCATTTTTTCACCCTATTTTTGATGTATTAATTTTTCCTTTCTTTCACACATGCTTTGTTTTCTTTCCTTGTTGAGGCATACATTTCGAGGCTTTGCCGAGAATTGCTGGTCCTTACCTTCTATAGTGCAGTAAACTTTCTTTCCTGTGTTTGGAAGCATTGCTTGTTGAACCATTTCTTCGCTTGTCTGTTCATTGGCTTATTTGTAACGGACGTTACGAAATTAAATAAATAAATAAATAAATAAATAAATAAATAAATAAATAAATAAATAAATAAATAAAT